CCCCTCCCCCCCCCAAGGTATGGTTAACATAACCTCTAATCTAGGAAAATTAGATAAACTTGTGTTGGCTGTGAAAAGTTCTTCAATTTAGAAGGAACTTCAGTTACAGAAACTCAGGTGGTGTTAGTGACTCGTAGCCCTGATTCTGCCTTTCACCAGATCAGAACTTACCGTAACAGAGCTGTGGGCCTTAGCATGCAAAGAGAAAGTGGTGTGTATGTTTGAGTAATGTTTCCTATTTATTACCATGCCTTACTTCTATGTTGCATTTTTTTTTCAGAAGAGGAGATTTAGCAATTTTCACATTTTTAAATGACAGCAAGTACAACAAACAGGGCTATACCTGCAGAAATGAGGATTTGATTTATTTCATGTGCATCTCCGTACAGGGCTCTCTGTGACACAAAGGACTGCGGAAAGCTTTCAAAGGAACAATTTGCTTTGGCTTTCTATTTAATTAATCAGAAGTTAACAAAGGGCATTGATCCACCTCAGGCTCTGACTCCAGAGATGATTCCACCTTCGGACAGGGGTGTCAGTTTACAGAAGGTAAGAAACACTTAAAGTACTGGCATACCTTAAACTTATCATAATATTGGGAAGAAAACAAGTCTTAAGTGCAAGGAATTGACAAAACACTGTTCCATTCATGTTTCAAAATGAAGCTGTCATTTATTATGCCTGCCAACCAAGCGGAGAGATCTTATGTTGAGAAAGCATCATTTTCTGTTTTGAAAGAAGAATCTTTTTACTACCTGTCTAAAGAAATTTTAGTTTGCATTTGAAATAACATGCACAAGTTCAATGTTTTTCTCCTAATGTGTTCACAATTACCTTTTTTACATTTCTTTTTTAAGAAGTCTGGAAACAATGTGAACTAAATAAAGTTTAGAATTATATATTTAAAATTTTAAAAGTAAATGGTCCTCCATTTTATACTTCACAGATAGTTTAAATGTCTTCATAGTCTGTTGATTGCCATCTATCTTAATCCAGCAGTAGACTATACCTCAGCAGTTCAAGTTATATTTATCAGAATGGTAGAGGTCATCACAAATTCTTACTTGTTTTATGCATCACAAAATCTGATGTGGGTTACCTTTTCTTGGTTGTGCAAAACATTGACCTAATTCTACAGCTTTCTCAAACAGAATGAAAAACTCACACCTGAAAAAAGTGGAACTCAAAATTTGGCACTGCTTTTGAGTTTCTGTAACTGGTATCTAATTTCTTTTTACATTCTGTTTTTAAAAAGTAATTGCTTTATTTGCAACTCTACTAATCTTTTTTGTATGTTTGCTTTCCTTTCTATGTCTCTTTTCTAGTTTGGACTGTTTTTTCCATTCTGCACCACTCTGCTTTTCATCCTTATTATTCTGTCAGTTTGTTAACTCTGCTTTCTCAAGGTTAGAGAATCTTTGCTTTTCTAATATTTACTGTCTGTTGGTTTAATAATGAACATCCTTCTAAGACTCTTACATAATCATTGAAATAGCACAGCACTTCTCTGAAGTGTCACAGTGTGTTGCGATCTCAAATTATTGTTGATTTCCATTGTTGTTCATCTGGAAGAACCCCAAGGTTCTTCCTTGAAGCCAGACCTCTGTGGCTGTTCCCTGTTGGTAACATGTGCTGCTTAAGCTTAAAAGAAAATGCTGGGTGTTATCCTGTTGAAATTGCTGGGGAGGTGGTGACAAAGTAGTAACCCAACGTGACAGTTGACAGTTATGATTAGAACTAATACCCATGGTTTTACTGATTATATTGCAGAAAATGTAGCGATCAGAACACATTAGATGAGATCAGTGTTGGTTACTGCTATTCTGTGTATGTAAATCGTTTTTATAGAACTCTCAAAGACAACTGTGTTTTTTTGGTTTTGGTTTGGTTTTTTTGTTTGTGGTTTTTTTTTGTTTGTTTTCTTTGCATTACTAACATAAATGATAAGAGTAAGAATATTGTGAAAGAAGGTAAGAGTTCTTTTAGTTAGCTCTGTAAGTCTTTACCAAGAATTTGTTTTACTAGGTTGAGCTTGAACCTTCAGCTCATTTTGAGCTTTTTCAAAAGAGATGTCTTGTTGATATGATTGTCCAAGGTTATTGCTCAAGAATTGAACCCAGAGGGATAAGAGCAGTAGGCAGAAATAGGCTTTTTGCTGGTTTTCTTGAAGTGGAGTGGCTTACATTGGGGGCGGGGGGGAGAGAAACAAAAACCACAACAAAAACCCAAAAAACCCCCCACCAACCCAAAACCAAACCAAACAAAAACCAATCAAAAAAACCCTAGGCTTCATCTTCTGACTTGACCAATATAAAGGTAGTAGCAGAAATATCAGTAAGTATAATGGTAATTCGTTATGTTTTTAAAGTAGCGAAAGTTAACTTGTGATCCTTCTTGGTAGATGTTCAGAATGCATACGTATGTATATTGCTGTTATAAAATGTTTAGTTTCCTTACAGAATTTTATTACCACAGTAATTTAACTTTTATTTCAGTTTTGAGGCCTGAATGCAGATCCCATGAATAGGACACAGCAGCAGTCTAGTACTTGTCACTATGTTTCTTTACCTAGAACTGTTTGTAGTCACCAAATTGCACTTGCATTACCAGTCATAAAACTTAAACTTACATGCAAGTTCCTCTTAAAGAACTTTAACAGGAATTGACTTTTATTACTACATTCTGTTTAAAAACTCTAAGCGTTGTTTGCATGCATGTTGCAGTGTAGTAAATGGCAGCAAATAGTTCTAACTTTTGTCTTTTTTAACTTGTGAATTGAAGCTAAAAATGTTGGCTTTTATGTTCCTCCCCCACACCAGTTCTCCTGAACAATTGAAAATGAGATTGAACTACATTTTGTTCAAGTTTGATGCTGGCGTTAGTGTGTAGAATTTCTTTAACTGATGAGAGAAGGAGGCCTGGAAAGAATTTGTACTTGTAGCTAATAGCTCCATGTTTTCCTTCTGTCCCCTTCCTAGGAGAAATAAAAAATTTCTCATTGGAACGCCATGAGCAACTCCACGCTCCTTTAGAACAGGATTAACTTCATAGCGATTTTGCCCATTTGAGAAGCTGTACACTAACCGGTTTAAGAATAGCTGTATGGTTTTTTATTCTCAGTTCATGCCATTTGTTCTAGTAAAATATGCATGAATGATCTATAGTTCTGCTGAATAATATTCTCTGCCACAGTGTGCTCAGATTTACTGCTTAAGTCTTTTCATTGCTCTTGGTTTTGTGTTGGGTTTTTTTTTTTTTCAGAGTATAAGCTTGAATAAACATGTAGTTAATAGCATCTTGATTCCTCTTTAAAGAAACTTCAGCATTTAGACTTTTGTGTTATTTTGGGGGTATCGCTTGCCTTTTTTAATTATATGTATATACTTTTCCTCTGAACTTTGTGTTTGTCCTGGATGATTTTATTCAAGACTTGAAGGAACTGATGTATTTATGGAAGGTAGTTACAGTGACTATGGCTTCCTAAACATGTTCATGTTGTGATAAGGCACAGTAGAACAATTATAGCATTTGCTAATTTCTGTCTTCAGCATTTGTTCTCTAGTCATTTATGTATACTTTTTTGAAAACAAATAATTTGTATTACAGTTGTCTCATTATAAAGACACTAGTAAATGGGAACTCATGGGTGTAACTTACCTATGACTTTGTATTATCAAAGTTTCATTCAGTACTCTGGAGGTTCACATTAAGCTAGCTCAATATCACTTAAAGCATTGCAAATAAGTGTCTATACTCTGCAACAGGAGGATGACCAAAGTGAAGAAATATAAATATGAAAGTAGTAAACAAACCAAACCACTCTTATGAATGCTAGGAAGTAGCTAAACGTTAACTGTAAGATAAATCTCATTTTAGAACTAGATTTTTTTTTTGTATGATCAGGTGGTCCTGTGCTTTTGTGGGAGATGTCTTCAACAGTTTACAGGAGACAAACTCTGTTTGAATTACTAGATGCACTGGATGTATGTTGTGTTCTGTTAATAGAGCATCTGGACTGTTTTTTTTAAGATTGAAGATTTGAAATACAATGCTACCAACAGTTGTTGCAAGAGGATAGATCATGCTGTCACAAAAAGTAAAGTGAATATAGTTGTTGGACAGCATAAACTATAAACTAACAGTATTTATTTTTTATTTTTCAGAGTACTCAAGGACTGAATTCTGTAGCAGATTTTTCTGCAATTAAAGAACTTGATACGTTAAACAATGAAATAGTAGACCTGCAGAGGTAGGTAAAGGAGGAATAGTCATAGTTGCCTTAGATTCAGTTGTGCTACTTACGGGTTTTTTTAAAAAACAATTAAATGCATAAGAGAAAACCAGGTGGTAATAGTCTGCTTTGCTAAAATAAATGGTTAGCATGTCTCTAAATGTCTGTAATACTGTTTAACACTTCTACTCTTTGTTCACTCAGATGAGTGCATTTAATAACAGCAAGACTGTGAAAGGTCTGTCTGTTATGCCTTCTGGGTATGTTTCAGAGAGCTGCATCTTAGCATCCTGAGATGGAAATATTCTCTCTTGTTCATCTTTATTGGCAGATGAGAATGGAGCAGAGATTTAGGATGCTGGAACCATGATATAAATTGGTATTAGTTGTCTTTGATTTGTAAAGTGAATTCTAAGGACTTTTTTCTAGTGGTAGTAAGGAAGTGAGATGGGAAATATCAAGAAGTATGTGGAGTAGAGAGTGGGAGGATGACAGTTTGTATAGGGACCTCTGCTAAGGTTTTGATGGTGGTAAAGATGGACATGCTTCTCTTCTGTTTAGTAAAATAAACTGTTGCGCTGAGAAAAATTGTTTTAATTTGAGATCCGTAGACCCTTGGGTTCCATTAGTTATTTCTAAGGTAATTAAAAGATGACTTCAAGTGACTAAGAAAATCAAGTCCATATACGTTGTATAGTCTTTGTCATACTCTCAAGATATAGCAGATATTTTTCTTCAGTGATTTTTTTGGTACTATCCTAAATCTACTGAAAATTCCATTAAGAACAATTAATTCTACTATTTTGTAAGTGAGGGTGCTTTGTCATGATGAAATCTGCCTGTCTTATTCAAGTCACTTGCACGAGTGATTTAATTTGGCAATGTGTCAAAGCACAGTCTGTTTCCTAAATATATAAATGTTTTTTCACTTCAACTGCTTGTTCTCCCTCTTATCACTCCCACTGCCTCCTCACTTCTCCCTGTTCTGCCTTCCTCTGTTGTTCTTTAGGTTGTATTAATTGCAGTTTTGGACTCTCACATTTATTAACCTGAAATATGATTTACAACCATGTATATTTGCTGTTAGTATCTTAGAGGGAAATGAATTGTTCACTAGCATGAATTCTTGATGAAGTTGGTTTTCAGTAGGTGGGCTTGCAGCCCAACATGCCAGCCAGTCTGTTTATGTCTTGTTTTCTTTTCTTACTGTGAGGTATGAAGGAACCATGGCCTTTAGAAAGTCATTGCTTCCATTTCTTCAGTGGTAAATATACTTGGACAATTATTTAAGACATTTGAATGATATTAGATTGTTGAAGATATGGTAGGGGCAACTATTAGTATGTATTTATTTTTAGAAAGGGGAAATTTACTTTGATATGATTTAGAGGTTCAGAACAGAACTGGATTGACAATCAGAGGCTTAAGCCTGTATCGTCAAACTGAAGTGTAATAGAGGTTTGTGTGGTTTCATTGAGAATGACTAGCAACCTCTCAATGTCATAAAGTGAGTTGTGGCTCAAGTAAAATTTTTTCATTTTTATTTTTTTCAAGAAAACTAATTTTTTGATTACTTGAAAATCCATTAGCCACTGTAGAAGTTATTTTGGCAGCAGAGTAGATGTTACTTTTCTGTACCTTCCCTAAGTACAGGTGTCAATGTTAGACAACAGATTAATCTTTGTGTAAACGTAGGAAACTTTTTTTCATCTTTGGCAAATCCACAATTCTGTAATAACTGGTGAAGTACACTTTGTCTTGATAGTTATCATATAAAAATGTAATTTAAACTTAAGTTATTTTTTTCATTATTAAACTAGATATATTGTTCAGCTGTTGAACTCAATATGTAATAATTCTGGTCCATGATTCCATTGAGAAGTATCTGTGAAAGCTGAATTTCTGTAACCCAGTAATAGAAATTGAATCTATTTTTGAAGTGCACTTCAAAAAAAAAAAAAAAAAAAAAGGGAGCAGAGGAAATGCCTCAAAAGAATGACAATGTCTGGAAAACATAGCTTGTTGAGAGACTGAGCAAAGAATACAGAGGTGATGTGTTTGTGGCTCAACAGTTTGTGTAGGAAAGATTTCTGGTAGCCAATAGCTTTTTAATCTAATTCAATAAAAACAATGTCAGGAAGGTGGAGGTTGAGGATCAGATGAAGAATAAAATGCAGAACACTTACTAGCGATGATAATTGCCCCCTGGTAGGGGGAATGATTTGCCTAGGGACGTTGTGGAATCTGCATCATTTTGAGCCTGTCAGCACTGCTGCCTGTAAGTTCTGTTTCAGTTGCACTATATTTTTAGAAAGCTATTTGAAGCTTTTTTTGATCAGCATTGTGGGAGGCTAGACCAGATGTTCTTAATATTCTTTTTTTGAGCCATAAAACTTTTTTCTTCCCCAGCAAACCCTGCTTTGCTTTCATGCATTCAAAGCTAGCTATGGCCCACAAATTAGTGGAATTGTGAAAGATGTCCCTGTCCAGGGCAGGGAGGATGGACTAGGTGATCTTTACAGGTCCCTTCTGACCCAAACCATTCTGTGATTCCGTGTGATTCTGTGAATTTCTTCAAGCTTTACCAATACTACGTTCGTCTCTAAGCGTGTTAAGTAGTTGAGCTTAACTTAGTATTATCTCACCAGAGGTGCCATCCTTCACATGTGTTGGACAGCAACAGTTATATTGTCTTGAATATAAATCAGGTTAAAAGGACCATAAAGCTGATAAATTGGTCTCAAAAGTAAGGAAATAGCAAAATGTCCCCAGGAAAAACAGGGCAACCTCTCCCTGCTGTACACCTGCATCAAGCCTTTGTTTCAAAGTTCAGAGATCTACAGCTAGTCTTAGCAAAGCAATGGTAAGAATTTTAATGTAGGCTAGATTATTTCTTCCAACCTCTGGTTTGGAAATAACTGAGCTGTTGCAGGTGAAAAGGTTGGGGGAACAAAGGGGAGAAGAAATGAGGCAAACCCTAGACATTTTTTCTAGCATTGCCAAACTGAAGTACTACTACACTGGGAATTCCCAAAGTTACAAATGTATGTGAAAATAAGAAATGTTGGGCAACTGTGAGTGTAGAGAATGCTACCAGCTCTGTGAGTAGTCACCTGTCACTTATTATAGAAAAGAACTATAATTTTTTGCTTTTGTAACTAAGGTGGTTCTAAGTATTGGCCATCAAGAAGCTGGGCCAGGGTTGTTTCATATTTGGCTTGAATGCCTCTACTGACATGGGGACTCATCAGTTGTCAGCTGTCACAAATATTTGCAATCTGCTGGCTCCCAGTTATAAACTACTCCATTTACAAATTAGTATAAAACTTATGGATTTACTAAGATCATTTGATTGTAAATCATGAAGTATCTACATTGGAGAAACCATCTATTAGTTTGGGGGTTTTTTTAATCATTGCTATTAATTTCTTTGATATGAGGTTGTGTCCTGACTACTATTAAAATACATAGGGAAATTGTATTGCTTTCATAAATTGACTTGAATTGGTTACAAGTGTCCTTTATTGGCAAGACGACAGTTGGTTTTGGGTTGTTGTTGGTTTGTTTTTTTTTTTCCCCAAGTGCTGATGTGGTAAGGGACTTTATGATCCAGGAAGTCTATCATATCCAATAAATCAATTCTGTTACTTGTTTTTGGTTCTTTCAGTTGCTGAGCATTCCTACAGGGGCATACCAGATAGTTTGTAAAAGAAATGGAGGCATTCAGAAGAATTAGTGAATTAAGTAGGTCTGTGTTGTCTTTTTTTTTTTGTCTTTTTTTTTTTTTTTTTGAAACAAAGACACACTACTGGGGGGGAGGAGGGGATGTGTTATGTGTAGACTATATACACTCAGCTTATTTTCCTTTGCCTGAGACTGCTGCCTAAGCTTCTTTTGTTCTGCCTGACAATACTTCTTTCACTTGATTTTTTCCAATTCATTGTTTGTGTTGTGATTTGGCCAGTGTAAGCTGCCTGCGGGTGGGTATTGTATCCTGTTGCTTGATTAGCATAGTCCAGATTGCAAAATTTAGGTACCTGGCTTCTGTTGAAATAAAAGGGAAGTGATCTTCATCTCTGACAGTCTCTTAGGCATATCAGTGACAGTAACGTGGAAAGGCTGTACATTAAAGCATGCATACCTGCTTGCATTTCTATTTCCTGCTCAGTTTTCATACCTGAGCAGAAAAAATAACAAGTATTTGTTTACCTAGTCAATTATTCTCTTTTATCTTCAATCAGAAATAATATGTTTGCTGTGTTTGATATGCGTGTCTGAGGGCTTGAAGGTATTTTTCTGCCTGACTTGTATTTAGATCTGTGGAAGTGCTTTATTGAGATTGAGACCCTTTGTTCATGGAAAGTTACAGATGGCAAAATCAACAGAACTTGTTTCAGCCCTGTGTTGCAATGCTTTAAATATCTAAGTACAACTATGCTACAAATACTAGTTTATTGAGCTAGAGGAATGTGCTATAGCTTTGATGGAAATGGTAACGATTTGCTTAGAATTTCCATGATACTTTTTTCTGATGAATGGAGAGTGAGGAATTTTATGAAACTTGAAGGTTGGCACTTAACAAAATAACCAGCCTTGTTCTTCAAAGTCCCTCCTTCCCCATCTTTCTTCTTCTTTCTATTTAAACCTTCCCTTTTTCCTTTTCCTTCTATTTAAACCTTCCCTTTGGGCACAGTCAGCAAGTTGCTCTTTAAGCAGATACTGAGATAGATAATAAGAGAACATAATCTATAGTAATTATTTTTTAGAGCAAACGTTCGTTTACGATCTATGACATCTGGATTTTTTTTTTTATTTTCCATTGTACATGGTTTAGCAGTAAACAAGAATTGCTCAGCTTGAGTAAAGAGAACTTAGAGTAGACCTGCTTTACTTTGGAAACAGAAATGCTTTCTTCTGTATTAGATAAGAGTAAGCAATGAGATTAATAGTTTTAGATTGATTACCAATCTGCTGCTATTAAAATATGAAGTTACCTTAATTTCAATATGTACTAGTAATATAATAGCTTTTCACTGTGGTATTTCATTTAGAAAAGTTAGGTTTATCATTGTTCAAAATCTAACTTTTAATGTGAGTGCCAATTTATTAACAATCTTTATGAAAGTAAATGTCTGTATACAGAAGATAGTGTTAAAATTGTAAAGCTTAATGCTTTTCTGCATCTGTGAAAGGAGAAAAGATTTCATATACTGTCTAGAGATAAACACTCTTAGGATTTTCTTAAAACAGTAACACTTCTGAGTTGTATGTTGGGTTTTTTCCCTTTCTTAAAGCTATTGTTATGTCTGACAGCCAAGAATTTATTGATGATAATTCCCCTGTCATCAGTAGTCACTTTTAAACTTGAATAAATGTCTGTAGAGACAGACTTGATATGACACAGCAAATAACTACGTACGGAGTCTCTGAGCAGCTAGTGATTACAGCAAGCTAACCTTTCTTCTTCTGACTGAGCTTACCAACAGATATATCTAAAATCTGATAGGCAAAGTTCATTAATCAGCTAGACTGGCCTGCTGTAAATGTTTTCTAGCTGCTGTTCGCATAGGAATTACTGTGTTTGCAGGGGTTAATAGATGGAATCTGATGCAATCCCTCCCACTTTTCCCAGCAGTTTTCATTAGACAAGTGCTCCATAGCAACAGTGAGATCACTGGAGACAGTATTTCATTGATTTCTCCCTCCCGCCCCCTTCCATTTTTGAGCCATTCTTATCACTGAAGTGCAGTTGGGTGAAAAGACAGGGGTTTTTATGCAGAACACTTACGTGGGCTTCTGTCTTGTAAATAATTTGAAAAGCAGAAATCCCTTACACCTTTTGTGTTTAATGTTTCACTATGTATTTAAAGAGAGATACAGGCTTAGGGGGCTGGATAACTGTACCTGCTGTAGCTGATGTTCTTAAGTATTCTTGCATTGTTTGCTGGTCTTCTAGGGAAAAGAATAATGTAGAGCAAGACCTGAAGGAGAAAGAAGATACCATCAAGCAGAGGACAAGTGAGGTCCAGGTAAATAAGAAATAAAATTATTGTTCGGACATCTGATATTGCACCATGTGGTGCTTTAATGGCGTGGGATTACTGAGTCTTTAGATCATATCACTTATTCAGTGAAAAGAAAAAAAAAAATTGGTGGCTAAGAAAAAGAATGTACTTTGAAATGTATTTTCTATATGAATGTGGGTTGGTGTGTATATTTATATAACTGTGCGAGCTCCTAAGATATGTAACCTGCATGGAGTTTTAAATGAAAAATATTACAAAAAAAAATAGATTTCTTCTTTTTCTTTTTTTTGTTGGTGTTTTTTTTTTAGCAAGGCTATCTAATGTATAATTAAAACTAAAGAAGACACTGTAGCACTGCAAATTAATAAACTGAAGTGGCTGAATTAAAAGGGCTTGTATATGGGGCTGCTTCTTAAGAGTCGCAGTAATTACCAGCTCGGGAGGAATGTTGCTTCAAGTTAATTTTGCCTAACATAAGTGAATTTTAAAAATAATCTGTTTGATGTTTATTTAAAAGGATGTCATTGAATTTCCAGAATATTGGAAAATACAAATTTTACATGTATTTTACAGGGATTAAAAATTATACAGTCAGCATCAGTATTTAGGGTGCTAACAGTCAAGCCAAGCCCAGAATTAAATGCTGCAAAGCAGTATTTCAATTAAATTTTAGGCTGCAAAAGCAGCTGGAGTTGCTGCTTTAAGAAAAAACTTCAGTGTGATATCTGATCACTTACATTTGTTTTAGGAATCTTTATTATTTTAAATAATACTTATTTGATTAAGAGCAAATAATGCAAGATTTCTACCTTTTACTTTGTGTTGGGCAGAAAAAGAGCCAATGTGTTACAACTGTTGTGAATTTTGTGCTTGGCTATTTAATATCTTTAAAGTCTGGATGATAATTAATAGTCTGACCTTTCAGAAAATAATCAGATGCTGGCCGGTTAGTCACGATGGCAGCCAGATTCAGCAGCTGCAGGAACGCATACAGAAGTTGCCCATGTCTGTGATTCTGTCCATGCATGCGGTGGTCATTCCCCTCCCTACTCTGCAGATTGCCTTTTCACACTGTTAAAAATCCTTATGGGTATTCCTGGTTTTGCACACAGGATTATTTTGTTAGTGTGTTCTGGAATCTGTGTGCGTTCATGTGAAGGTTGAGTTCTCTGGTGCCTTTGCACAGAAGGTATATAAAGCTAAATAAAAACCTTACCTTTAGTGTTACAGTTATTAGTGTCATCTGCATATATTTAGTGTTTGACAGTCAGTAGCATCATGGAATCAATTAAGTCATTGTATCTAGAGCAGTAACGTTGGAAGCAACTGTCTCAGGTCCTTAACCTCTTAGTGATCGCACAAGCTATTTGTCCCTTGTTAAATACAGAGTTATAGAGCTTTGTAAGTCTGCAGAGAAGGAACAGTCTGCTGGCTTGTGAGAAACCATCAGGATCAAGTAGGATGTGGCTGCAGCATTTATTTAAGCCGGTTTTATCTCTGGTCCCTTTCTTGCTTCTGAAAGTTGGAGGACCTACGTGTTCCAGGAAACTTTCTGGAACTTAAGACAATAGTGGTGACAGACTAAGAATATCTTTACATCATGCTTTTTTCTTCTGGTTTTATTCTAATGGTGACATTTCTAAAGATGGTGTACAAAACCAATGTGTTCTACTGTGCCACCTTGGATCAAGCTAATTTTGTGGCATGACACTCTAGGGTTTCTGATACTAGAATTACTTCCATGGACACAAATTATAATCTCAAATATAGCCATGGTCTGTGATGGGTCGGACTGATTTGTATGGAAGGAGGAGGAGAATGACAGTTTTTCTTCTATAAAATAATTTATATACTATGTAAATAGATACTAAAAAGGAAAGAGAATAAGTGTAGGAGGGAAAACAGCATACTGGTGGGTTTTAATGTGCTTATTAAAATAGCTCTTTAGTAGCAAAGATTAAGGGGGTGTTTTTTCTTGAAAAGTAATGGGCAGAGTAACAAAGATCAAGAGGCTTCTAAGGCACCATTTCCTTAACTTATTCTGTGATTGGATTAGCATTTTCTTATAAATATGGGAGTAATAAACTCACATATGAAATGTTCTTGGCAGTAGAGAACTTTGTTTTACAGAGTTAATGTGTAACTAAAATATTAGGTTTTGACCACATACCAAGTAGCATTTGAAAGTGCCTTTACCTGGGTGTCCCCTCACTCTCTCATCACCAGCCTGCTCTTCTAGACACAGATGTTGAAGGACAGTGTGTCTCAGGTTTAAACACTGCCTCAAGCAATGGGCTTTTGGGCACATTCACAAGACTGTCATCTTCCATCTAGCATTTCACCTGTATGGGAATGGTTCGTCAGTCTACATGCTAAGATTCCAAAATAAGTGGCGATTCTCCTGGCTTTCCCAACAGTTACCACATGTTCCCTAGAATTTTATTGACATGAAGTCAAAAGATCTATGTTTTGCTTTTCAATGGGACACTGAAACTTTGTAAATAAATTTTTAGAACAAATGCATGTCATGCAAAATGTATGCTCCTGCACAAAGCATAATACATGTTTGCATCAATTGGGGAAAAAAATGTAATTGCATGTGAGAGACTGCTTCAGAGAAGGGAGGGGTGGGAAAGAGAAAGGTACTTTGGGATTGTGGCCTTCCAAGTGGTCCAGAATGTTTCTGGCCTTCTCTTCTAGCTTTTTGATCTCCATGTTGGCCTGAGTTTTCTTAAACAGATTTATGCCCTGAGTATCCCACTCAGCATTGGATTTGCCCTATTCTTGGTTTGTTGCAGTGCCCCAAAGCCATTAGAAAGTCAGTGAAGTTTAACTTTTCTGTGCTGTTTTAGGCTTAAAAGTTCTTAGCACATGAATTGTTTGGTGAAATATAGACTGGCAAGCTATTAAATCCATTGTCTATCTGTGGAAATACAGATCTTTTAGACTTTCCTTGTCCTACACTACATTAGCATGGAGAGTTATAATGATTGTAAATCTAATACAAGGATTAGGATTACCATAAAAATGCTAGTTTGTACCACCTCAAATATGTTAATGGTTTTCATACAGAATCTCATTCAGTGCTTGAACATTAAGATGATGCTTCTCTGCTGAGGGTGTTCTTTGAAGTCAAAGCTTAAACGGAGCCTGGTTTACTTTGTGAAGATGTATCTTTGAGTATTAGCCCCAGTGTATTGTATCTACTCCAACCTTTAATTTTGGAGTGGTTATGTGAACATGTTTGGGTTTTGGTTTTCGTTGGGGTTTTTTTTTCCTTCTTTTCTCTCCTGGGAGGCATCAGGCTTAGGTCTCTTCAGTGCTTCTCTACTGCTGTGCCTAGGACAGACACTGGGATTCAAGGAACAGTAGCAAGAGGAAGGTGATCTATATTGTGTGTATGTGAATTCTTGCTTCCTTTTGGAGAAAGGAGACGGAAATCTCTTTAAGCTGTTACTTTTTCCCCCGTTGCTTGCGTTGAGTGTCAGCTGATACTTGCTTTTCAAAGCGATGTAAAAAGTGAATGGATCAAGAGTGTCCCAATTATCCAAGTCAGTAGCTGCTGTAAGAGCTTTTTGTGTGCACACTGGTTTGCCTTTCATAGATTAGAAATAATCAGTAATTCACCTAGTCTAACTGCTGTACGTCAGTCATATACCCTTTACTGAACTTTAAATTTGAGGTTTTTGTGTGGTTTTTTGGTGTTTTGTGTTTTGTTTTGTTTGGGGTTTTTTTGTTTTGTTTTTTCATAAAAGCATCTCTTTTAGGTAGTCTTAGTTTCTTTAGGTAGTCTTCCAGTTGCGTTGAGGTTACCTATTTCCCTAGCATCTGACTGCTGCACCATATGCCTTTCTATTTCTATCTGGCTTTTTTGTCCTGATTATCTGGAGGTGTTAGCATGTGTGGATAAACTATCTCCCTCACCAAAAAGAACCCCAAACAAAACACCTCTAAAAAAGGACAACAGGATCTTAGCTTAGAGTAGCACATGAATGTATGATCTAATCAGAAATTCACATCAGCTTGTTTTCTTATCCTCCTTAATTTACTTTTATCTCTATTTGTTTGTTACTGTTGTTCATGATTCTTCCTTCAATTACCATATTTTCTCGGAAAGGCTGCAATCTTCTCTTTTCATCTAATACTTTTCCTTTTGTATTAGTCCTTTTTGATCTCCCTGTATTATCTCTTCCTCTTGACTTTGACGATTCTTTTTTCTTCTCAATTCTTTTCTGGATTTTTTTTTCAGCGTTATCTCTGCAGTTTGGCATATAACCATTCCTGTTGCTCAGAAATGAACTAATTATCATATGATGCTACTTAATGTACTTAGGACACAAGATGCATACTTACTGCTGTTTCATAAATTAAAAGATGCCATATTGTTGTGTATGGAATATGCATTTCTTACCAGTACTGATACATGGAAAATAAATTTTTGGCTGATTTTTGCAAAATCAGAGGCAGGGAGGCTCTAGGAGGGAGTGCATTTGGGTTAATAGTGCACCGGTTCGGTCCTTTACCATGTTGCTAAAACAAGTTCCTATTTTTGGCCGTGTGTTTTTGAAGGGGGAAGGAGCAGAATAAAGAATTTCTATTATTAAGGAACTCAGTAAAACATATTGCTAAAACATAGGACAGAGACACTGTAGCAGCCTGAATAAAGACGACTTCTAAATTCAAAATGAAACCCTAACCTCCCTGTGAGTAAAACAGTTAATGTCTGTTGATGCATGATCTTCAATTTTTCAGTGAGATTCTTTTTACTAAAGAAAAGAAAAAGCAAATAACGTGGTTATTCTCAAATTCTAATTGTAAGACATAAAAATACTTACTTGTCTGACACGTTATAAATGCTAGCTTTTGAAAGATAATTTGTTGATACTTTGAAATCTGAGTTAGTACTGCAGTTTATACTGTGGAATGTAGTGGTTAGGAGGAGAGGGGGAACAAATGCAAAGCTCATCTGTTTTATTACAGGATCTACAAGATGAAGTAAAGTGGGAGAGCAGTAATCTGCAAAAGCTGCAAGCTCAGAAACACGAAGCGCAGGAAATCCTTAATGATCTTGATGAGCAGAAGGCCAAGTTGGAAGAGCAACTTAATGATATCAGGCAGAAGTGTGCAGAGGAGGCCCATTTGGTAAGGTCTAGTGGCTAAGGCCCTTAAAAGAGTAAATGCCTCATTTTGAAGAACTCGGTCTTCCAGTGTTACAGTTGTGGGGGCAGGAGAAAAAAGTTTAATGAATGAACAGCCTGAGTGTCAAGATTTTGTGACAAACAGAATAGGAAATATGTCACTCATTTTAGTGACCTCCTAATTTAGTATCAGTCTGTCAACAAATATACCGAGATATACTTGCACACAAATAAGGTTAAGTGCACACAAATAATGCAAAGTTGTAATGCAGTCTAAGTGTAATTAGAAGCAGTAATTACTGGGACTGATTTCTTAGCAGTTAAAAAAAAATCATCATATGATTATGTAGATTTTTTTCTAATATAAAGCTATAGTATTTCTTTAAGGTCTAAAATTATATTTTCGGTATTAGAAATATCTGTGTTTGTCAGGAAAACAGCTAGAATACTATGATCTTATTGATACCAATAGGGAATTAATAGATCATTCAGGTATGATCTATGATCTCTGCAACAGCTATGAGGTTTTTACTTTTTCTGGTCATAAATAAGAGTATTTGGATGTGTTTAGAGGTGTTTTAGGGTTTTTTTTTATTTGGCTTTGGAATATTTGTTCATGCTTTAGATTGCCATGCTGAAGGCTGAAATAACAAGCCAGGAATCAAAGATTTCAGCGTATGAAGATGAACTGACCAAAGCTCAAGAGGAGCTGAGTCGCCTGCAGCAAGAAACTGCAGAGCTTGAGCATTGCATAGAGTCTGGGAAAGCACAGCTGGGACCTCTTCAGCAACATCTGCAGGATTCACAACAGGAAATCAATTCAGTAAGGCAGTGTGAAAGACCAAAAAAAAAAAAAAAAAAAAAAATTTTTTTTAAATGACAACCTTTAGTGTGGTTTTTCTTAAGGGAAAGGCGTTATTTTCTTTTTTCTTCACTGTTTGCTCATGTCTTCAGTTGCTTACACGTGTTCTATGCTAGTAGTTGTTAGGATTCTTAGAGGCTGACTCAAGTCACTCAAGATACTTCATGATTTTTCTCCCAAGTTTTGTTAATAAAAAGGGATTAATTTATTATATTTCATAAATAATTTGTCTTAATGTAATGAATGAAAAATGGATAATGTATGTTTAAATTCTCTATGTCCAGTAGTTATTTAAGCTTTCTTTCTCGGCCATGGCCTGAGGCACGCTCTTACTATTCTTTAATTGATGTGAAGCCGGTATAAAATTACTAACATTTACTTAGTGCATTGTTGAAGAGGGGAAAGTAAGGTGAGTGTAAGAATAAATTGGATTGAGACTAGATACTAAGAAGCAGAGAGATGGCTGCACTGGTTTTTAAGCACAGAACTGTGCTTTGAGGTGTCTGCTGTTATGTTAAAGGAACACTTCTAGCTTCTAACTGTAATCAGGGATTTATTATTACTTCAGTGATGAGTTTGCTTGCACACCCTTTCGTCATCATTCTCTGAATTGCCAGCTGTCTAATATATTAGCCAGAGTCACATCGTTATCAAGTTAAAAACAAAAAGCCCTCTTATTAACTTTGAACCCTAGAAATGGCTGACTCTTGGGTTGGTCATTTCACACAATTCATGTCTGTAACTTGTTAACAATTTTTTTCTTAAGACTTCCACTGCTAGTGTTCATGCAAGAACACTTTCTTCTGTTGAAGAGCCTTACAACATATTCAAAATTTTTAAATTTGGCTTTGAGGTTTAGAAACTGAGAAGTAAAATGGATTTTCCATTGTTTCATCACAGGTAGAGAGAAGGGTTATGCTATTTCAATATTAATATACTAGCAAGAGGTACTTGTGATGAACAGATCTGAGGCTGATAATACAAGTGGTTATGCTTAACTGTACTACAAACTTTTTTTCATAGGTTTTATATTAGTACTCCTGATTTCATTGCTCTTGGCTCACAAATAATAAACAATAGGTGCTTTAGTGCTTTAGGCAAGATTATCTAATGGTTGGTCTGAGATCAGTGTCTTTGAAAGACACCTGGTGTGGTGTCTTTGCTGTCACCTGACTTGTGACATGTGCAAGGCAATGAAAACTCTATTAGGTGACTGACCTAGCAGAAGTCAGTGGGATTTAGACACTGTCCTGGTTTCGGCTGGGATAGGGTTAGATTTCTTCCTAGTGCTGTATTTTGGATTTAGTATGAGGAGAATGTTGATAACACACTGCTTTCCGTTTTTGATAAGTGCCCTCCTAGTCCAAGGACAGCTCCCATGCCTACTGACTGAGCTAGGTACACAAGATGGGAGGGAACATAATCAGGACAGCCAGCCCAGCTGGCCAATGGGGTATTCCATACCATGTGACGTCATGCTCAGTATATGAATGGTAGGCGTGATCCAGGAAGTACCGATCGCTACCTGGTTATCGGTCAGCGCGGGTGGTGAGCAACTGCATTGTGCATCACTCATTTTGTATATTCTATCATTATCATTATTATTTTCCCTTTTCTGTTCTATTAAACTGTCTTTATCTCAACCCACGAGTTTTTCTCACTCTTCCCCTTCCGATTCTCTCCCCACCCCACTGTGTGGTTGGGGGGAGCGAGCAAGCGCCTGCGTGGTATTTGGCTGCCTGCCAGGTTAAACCACGACAGACACCTAAATATCTGAACTATGATCATCCTTCTGCATAATCTGCCAAATCCAGTAATTCCTTTATAACTGGCAGGTTCGTTGTAAATATTTGCTGTGAGGCACTGCATTAAGTGTATTGCTGAAATAATAACGTGGATGTAACTGCTTAGGAAGATATACTGTGGATTTTGTAGACTTAAAAAGTCATGTGGGAGAAGGTAATGAATTTGTAACTTTCCTTCTTGGAAGATGAGAAGTCTGATAAAGCAGCCTTTTTAATTTAGAGTTTAAGGCAATTGCAAATGCGTAATTAAAAAAAAACCACACACACAAAAAAACCCAAAAAACAACAAAAAACCCCACAAACAAAACCAACCAAACAAAACCCCCCAAAAAACAAACACCACAAAAAAAACCAACCAACCAACAAAACCAACAAAACCAAAAAAAACCCTAAAAGCTTTGCAACTCTTCTTATGAGTTTGAGTAGAAACAAAGCAACAAGTCTTGAATGTTGCCGGTGATGCAGTCTGCTTCCTTGGCAGGAGAAGGTTCTCAGGTATGTCCTTCAACTACATTACATCTTTTCTAAATCAGGTTTGTGTTTATTTCTCAAATTTCACCCTTTGATTGAAAGAATGTGGGTGTTATTGTATTTGCTTTTGAAAATAAGAGTTTCAGGCTTATAGCTTCCATCTTATATTTAAGAGAGGATGGTCATATACTAGCTTCTGTGTACTGCCATACTGATGCGTATACATTTATTTCTGTTTACAGGTGCAGACAAAACTTCTTGAGCTGAAAGAATTGGAAAATAACCAATTTAGTTGGCACTCTCAGCCACATAATACACTTGTTAATGGAACTGCGGATCATTCTAGTCTTAGCAACAGCAGCAGTGAAACTGCTAACCTTAATGAGAATGCTGAAAGGGAAAGTATAGCAGAAGATGAACAAATAAACAGTGTGTCTCCAGTGAGTACTGTTTTGCCTGCTTGATCATGATGCAATGCAGCTGTGAAGTTGAAATACGTTAAGAATGTATCAAGATTGATTATGTTTTTAAACACTTGCACAAGTGAAATTTCAGTGTGTTATTCTGTGGGACTATGTTTCAGCAGTCTGAAAGTTGATAAGCAGAAAAGGAGGCAATTTTAGCTTGGCTGGAAAGTGGCAATAAAAATTTTTCTGTATTTGTTTCCAAAGCAAAATATTATAAATTGAATAGTAGAATTAATATTAGAGAGCAGCTGTCTCCAGAATGGAATAGGGAATAGTAAAGAAAATCTAAAGCTGCCTTGCTTTGAATATCCCTCCTTATGTCCCAGTAGATTCTTTTTTTTTTTTTAAACTTTCACAGGGTTTATGGAATGCTTCAGTATGTTCTAGAATAAGTATGAACTTCTTGAAGTATCCTTTCATATATTCTTTTAGCTATTTAATACTTAAAATTATATTCTGTAGTCTTCTATTTACTTATTTATGGTGAATTGCTTTTATCCTTATGTAGATAAGGAACAGTCCTGAAACAACAGCCTCTGTTGTGGAAGAAGAGAAAGAGACCCCAGCTGCAACTATTACCAAAAAAGTGAGTTTGTTCAGATTTGGGGGAGGAAAAAGTAAATTAAAAAATCCTAGTTAAACTCTTTCAGGGTTGCATCATGGTCATAGAACAACAGAGAAATTGTCACTTACTGTTTTTATTTAGAGTGTGATGTCATGAAAACATTTCATCTCGTATAGCAGGCAGGTTGTTGTTGAGTAATATTTTGGTTCTCCATTGATGAATTATGTAGATTTCTAGCTGTCTCTCTTTTTTTCAGCTTTAAGAAACTACTGAATGGTAACACAAGATGACATAAGTGTTTTCCATCCTGCAGGTCTTAAAAATTTAATACCTTTCTCTACTTCTTTTGCATTGCCCAGGAAGATCCATTTGATGCTGAATCTCATCCATTGCCTGATCTAGTTTCTGAAGCCAGCTTAGAGTTCTTCCAGTCTGACCCTTTTGTTGGCAGTAAGTAAACTTTCTTCTCTTAAGTGCAGATTTGCAGAAACAGGTCTTGTATGAACACATCTCAGCCTAATCTTCACCTTGGAACTGCTCTTTATAGAATAAATGTGAAGGTGTTTGAGTGGCAGGAGTATGGAGCCAATAGCGTTACAAAAATGGAAATGAGAGTTCCAGGATGTTTCTCCTTCCTTCATCTGGACTTTCTAATTAACTGTGAAAATTGCACCTTTCCCTCACCACTCTTCCCAAGTACCTCTCTTACCTCCCACCCCCTGCAATTTGCAGCACAGATCCACAAACAGATCAATAGAGAGTTCAGTGAGCTGTGGTGTGGGGAGGGTGTGGGTGCTTGGGAATGAATGGCTGTGGCCTACTTATGGTGAATTTGGCACTCAGAAAAAGGTAATGTGGAACTGTACCATCTGTTCGTCTTGTGGAAGTGCTATGCTTTATTTTAAGAACTTGCCACTTACGAATGCTGTTGCTCTGACTTTATTTTTTTCTTTTATGTTGGACGAAGTGATCTGTCTATATGGAGCCACTTGGAGAAGGGGAGTTAATTTGGATTAACTGCTGAAGCTGAAAAACTGATGTTTTCAGCCACATTAATATGATTTTACATGCTTTCAGAATCAACATGGTCTAATCAATTTAGCTTGTATTGCTTCAAAAGGAAAATAAGCTAAATGTTTCAGATCACTTGGCTTCTGAAAGAACGTCAGTGCAGATTTAACACTTTTAATGAATAAATTAAACTAATTTAAAACATCTTGAATGTTTCTGTGTAGATACTGCTTGATTTTTGTTTATATTGAAGTGATCTTACTTACAGCACGACACAGCCTTTCTTTCAGAGGAGAAAGGTATGTCTGTTAGTAGCCAACCTTTTGGGCTTCGTGTGCTCCGTATGTTTAGGGCTAGATACCTGCTAAGGTATCTAGCAGCTAAGAGACAGTGTATCTGTGTCTCTCCAATGTAGATGAGGGAGTAGAACTGATGCAATTGGGACCACGCATCCAGTACAGAAATGAACACTTAGGAGCTACTGTCCATGATGCCTATGAGAATTATCAAAACTGGGACTAAGCTTCTATCAGTGGTTAGCCTGGATTACCATGGTAGTAAATACTGCATAATGTGGGTGTTTACTGATGTCCTGGTTTCGGCTGGG